GTGAAGGGGAGGATTCTTGTTGTCTTCAATAAGATTTCTGCCAATACATTGAATCTGAATTTCTTTTGAGCGCGGGTGAAAAACTCAGAGCGGAAGCACTGTTGGTTTTTGGGTCGTGTAGTTTTTTTTGACTCGCATTATAGTGTAGGCTTCAAGGAAAAAAACTATTCTATTTTGTTTCATGGCATCGATCCTAGTTTTTTTTTTTAGTTACTATTGGTTTGCTCCCGCTCCCGTCTGCTCCCGTTAATGTTTAATCCTGTACCGTCCCAATCACGTGATCGTTACTAATACTGACTCCCATCCCACGGGAATCCCGTGACCCGTGGGATTCCCGAAAAAATTTCAGTCTCTAGTGTGAAGACTATAAATCTGATACGATGCAGCTATTTAAGCTCCTCGAAAATGTTAATACCCATAAAATCAGTGAAAAGTTCGGTAGTTATTCTTTTCCTGCTTTGTGAGTCAACTCTGACGGTTGCTAGGTGACAGAGAGTACGGCGGTAAAAGTCGCGGAGGGCTGGACCTGTTTGAATCCACAGCCAAAACTCTTTTGGCCTCCTTATTTTCACTGACCTTCAAGGATCTAGTCCAGATCGATCGGGTCCTTGGAGGATGCAGCCTTTGAAATTAGACACACCCCATATCTGCAACCTTATGAAGCTGTTAAACTGCCTACCAGGTGGAGGCGGTAAAGCACCTGAAGGTTCTTTACCAACGCATCATGTTTTTCAAGTAAAATCAGGTGACATTAGGTGGGCTTTCTGGGATTGAATCTTTTCCATGTGTGTGTTTTCAACTTCACTCGATTATTGCCAATTGTTTTTTAGACATTTAGAGTAACTTTCTTCCCAAAATCTCCAGACAGCTGAAAATCCAGACTTTAAAAGTCTGGATTTTCTTGCCTTTTAAAACATGCAAACTAACAGTCAGATCAGCCTTACTTGATTCTGAGTTTCTCCAGGCTATTTTCCATTTTGAATGTACAATATTCTTTAGAAAAACCTTTTTTGCATGCTATTTGTTTGTATGAGGTTGTTATCCTTATTTTGGGAATACCACATAACTCTTTGATGCAGGTCTAGTTGAATAAGTTTCAAATATTTGGGAGGTTTTTTATAAACATTCATTTAAATGTTGTGGTATCCCCCCCCTGCCCAGGTACTCCTTACATGCAGTGCAATGCCATCTGCTCAGCAGCATCACATAGGAGAAAACTATGGAGTTAACGACCAGGAATCTGCACTGAAGAACTCGACTGATTCATTGTGACAAAGAATAAAAATGCTATTGGACAAGAACTAATGGGTTGTCCAAGCTAACGATAGCATGCCCTCGCAGAAAGGTAAAGGTTGTCCAGTATCTCAGCGCTGCCAGGCAGCCTCTAAATCGGATGATGCCACGCTTGCTCAGAAGAGAGTATATTGGAGAAACAAGAAAAGAGAGCAGCGGGCTCGTCTGTCTGAAAAGAGAAGTAAGTCAACACAAGATGGCCAACAGGAACATCAAGCATACGTGTATGTTTCTCCGGGGGTTAATGCCAGGTTGTCCGACCGCTTGGCTTCGTCCTCATTAAGTAAAGATGTCTCATGTAGTTATTTATCAAAGAGTGGGAAGACGGGTGAACAAAGCCCGACAAAGCCGCCTGAAAATCAGGAGTGGAGTCAGACAATGACAGTCAGCAAGGTCTTGCAGCCAACACACAGCTCCGTCTCGGCTAGGGCAGCCGATGATGTCACAGTAAAATATCCAGGCTTGGCCAAAAGCTGTGGAAGCCAACTGAACACCAGTTTATCAGTGCCTCAAGTCAGAGTAACCCGTATAACCAGCAACTGCTCCACAAAAACAGAACCCAAGCCATGTGGATCTATGCAGAGTTCATCTGAGGCAGAAGTTAAATTGAATGTGCCCAGGGTCTCACTTATTGGTGTAACTGCAGATACAAGTCATGGGTCTTCAAATTGTCCAGTTTTTGGTGAGACAGCGGTTCAAAGAGCACACGCAACACCTCAAAGCGGAACAAAGAGTGCCTTGGTCACTAATAAAAGGGCTTCAGGTTTTGGCATGACACCAGTCTCCATGGAGTCTGAGGAGGAAAGAGCCGCCAAACGAAGAGAGCAATGGAGAATCAAAAAACGAGAACAGAGAGCAAAGCTAGCTAAAGCCAGAGAAAGGCCACAAAGCAGAGATAGGACTTTTCAAGGGCTCACGGCACAAAAGACAAGAGTTGTGGCCAACTCTGCTCTACTTACGTCTCAGTCGTACTTTGGAAGCACAGGGCCGAAGCAGACTGCTGTTCAGGTCAAAGTGCCATATACAGCTCCCAGATTGGAGGCTGACAAACTGCGCAGTAGGTTAGCTGTAACTAACCTACAAACTAATTTAAAAAAAGAACAGAGTCCACAACAGCATACAATGGAAAACACAGCCATTGCAACATTTGATGTGACCCAAGGGAAGACGTCTCCAGAATCCCAGATAAAACCAATTCATTTCCATCATCGTTCTAACATTAGCCAAGGGATTGCCTCATGTAAAATGCCTAGACAAAGGCCAGCCGAAACACACAAGAGCTTCCTGAATCAGAGAAACTTAAGAAGTAAACCTCCTTCAACAGCTGCAATGTTTAGGACCAGAGCAATGCCCAAAATGGACCCAAATGACACACCAGAGCAAATCCTAGCCAAGCGGAGAGAGTACTGGCGGAACAAGAAGCGTGAACAGCGAGCCAAGCTCTCACTGGAGAAAAAGATCCGCCTGAAGGAGAAGGACTCTTTAACGCGGCGAGTAAAGCGTTACCAGCAAATCCTTGAAGAGATGAGAAAGGCAAGAGCCCTGGTCCAGTCAACGGAGAGGGTCCCTTTGCTAGCAAACGAGGCAATCGGGGGGTTTATTGAGGAGGATGGGACTCTGACAGTAAACATACCTGAGAGTCAAGAAGAAAAGCTCCATGCCCTTTCCAAGACTTCCAACTGGGGGGGCGTTTCACCTACCAGGGTTAATCCACTCTCACTTCCAGCTCTCTCATCTCAGGGCAAACTTGGTTTTTCTCCTGCTGTTCAGACATTCAATAAAACCTCTAAACGTCTTAATGTCAAAACATGGTCGGACATTGCCATAACAGCAAATTCTGGTTCAAAGTCAAGAAAAAGTTCCCAGCAGCTCACACTGACTCATTTCCAATCTCCTCACAATGAACCCTTATCCGCTGGTTCAAAGTTTGGTGGCTGTGTCATGAAGATGAATATCTCCAACCATAAACAGTCACTTTCAGCACTGTCTGGAGGCACAAAGCTGACAGAAGAGGAAAGGACCGCTAAAAAGAGAGAGTACTGGAGGACAAAGAAACGTGAGCAGCGAGCGGCTCGGGCTTTCCGACTGAAGCAAAGTGTCTTCCAAGCAAGGAGCACTGTAGCCTTACTTAGGAGGAAGGCTCAGACCCCAGAATCCCCTAAAACTGAGCGGCTTAGCACCAATCTTGCGATCTGTGAAGAAAAAGAACATTTTCCCAACAACACTGTGCCTGACATACTTTATGCAAATGAGATAAAACAGGAGGACGAGTCTGCTCCTGCAAGCGACCTGAATTCTCTTCCAGTTCAAGCCATCTGTCCAGACATCAAACTCCCAACCACGCCACCTGCGCCTCCAGTGCCACAGCTGGAGTCGGAGCCTCAGCCATCTCTAAACGCAGATAGCCAAGCGACCACTCTGCTGGTGGTAGCCTCGATGAAAAAACTCCTGGAGGAATCCCTTAGCACAGTTTCTGAGAGTCAAACCCAAGAGGCTGGAGGGGCCTTTGAAGCAGCCAGAGATACTTCAGAGCAAGATAAAAAGCCAGTTTTATCAACAGTTTATTGTGAAAATAATGAAAAGGCTCTAGTAGCTGCTTGTGTGCCATCCAAAATGGAATCCCTACAACTGGATAGCGATATCCTGAAAGGGAAAGACTTGCCAACCCCCCCACTTAAGGATTTGTCACAAATTAGGGAGGCAGTTCAATCTCTTTCAACCTCAGGTGAGCCTCCGCATTCTTTATGCGATCAGTCATCTCAGACCTCTTCAACGCCATTCGTTAGCACGGCTTCATCACGTAGAACCCAGAGATCTCACAGCAAAAATTGGGCCGATCAAAACCACTCCTTTGATGAGCCACCAAAGCTTCACCACATCACAACTGAAGCCGTGGATCCACCGCAACTCGATCAGCAGAGTCTGTGCCACAACAGCCATGTGCCATTAGCAGAGAGGTACCGCACTACGATGAGGCACACCAGCTCAAGCAGCCTTCAGAAGAAGCGGGAATACTGGAAACTGATGAAAAGGCAGCAGAGAGCGAAGTTGAAGGCCAGGCAGAAGGAGCTTCTTTCCAGGAATACCAAGGTGAGCCAATATAGCCAATCTCTTGAGGCAGGCTGTTAGTCTTTGTTTTAAAGGGGTCATAGGGGACATTAAACATTTGGATTGGAGCGGGGTAGTTAATTGAGTTTATGTAGGATTAAAATTTTTGAAATGAGGCTCTCCTTGGCGTCCGTAGCTCAGAGACATCAGGGCGCTTAAGGGGTGATAGAATGATTCTATAGGGTATCTGGTGCTGGTTAAAAGCCCTAGAATGAAACAACAGGCTTTCTTCCTTTTATGGTACGATCATGAATATTTAGATGAGCTTGTTAAATGAGGAAGTTGTGTCCCCTAAAAAAGCCGTTGTGCCTCAAGGGCTTCCTCACGGTTCTTTTCCTGGGAGCAAGTTATTTACTACTCTTAACTCAAACTGGATAAAATCATATAAAAAAGGACTTTAAAAACAGGATTAAAAAAGTAACAGAGTTTACTCCAGATCAGGTCGTTACAGGACAGAGAAAATGCTTGGAGCTTGCACAGCTGTGGGCTCAAAGATCACGTCCGCGAGCGTCCGGCAAAGATTGAGCCCCGAACAAGGTCATCTTCTCCTTCTTATAGCTCATGAGTCTATGTGTTGCACCAGGTGGATGCTTAGTTGTCCATATCAGAAACTGACACGCCATCCATGCCCTGACCTTTACGGACACGCCATCCATGCCCAAGGATTACAGATAGCTCTCCTCTATCAGTCCGGCTCCAAGCTGTGCCCATATCCTGTGTATTTTTAAAGACACGAAGGCTGTCCTGATTAGATGACCTCCGTACACACAGTGACATCCACAATGTGAAGGAAGGCCTTCTACTCTCTCTAATCCGGCTAGCAAAGTAACAATGCACATGATGTATAAAGCATAAACCTAACAAGCTGTGCGCTGATTGGTTAGTTTACAACAAGTGAAGCGGCTGAGCAAAGACGCATCATAGCAACAACATAATTTAAAGGAACCCCCCACCAGAAAAAGACAAAAGAATAAAAAAAGTAAGAAAAACAAAGTATTGCCTACCTGGAAGTTATTCTGTTCGCGCATGCGTAGGACAAATCGTTCTTCCGGGACGGATCATGTATCGACAGTTAGCATTAGTGGACCATGTTTAGTTTAACTTACACTTTGTTAGCTTATAGCACTAAACCCAACTCAACTAAAACCAAGTTAAATTCAGTTCAGTGGTAAAAAAAAAAAAATTACCTCAAAGGGAAATTAAATTTATAAGACATAAGCAAGTTTTTAATAAAGCTAGCTTGCTAGGATCAGAACATTATCCAATATATCTTAAGTAAAGCTAATACTTAATTAAGAGATACATAGTGGGGCTTTAAGAGGAAGCATTTTAGGGGTAATAGAAGAGCTTAATCCTGAATATGAGTATGCATGATTTCTGATGTTGGCTAAAGCCGGGCATACACTGTGCGATTTTTTTCAATCGTTGAACCCAGCCACAGCTCGAACTGTATGAAGAAACTGCAGGGTTTAAAAGTTCCCAGCTCATGATGTATGTTCTCACACTGTGCGACCCGACACTCTGATGCGACCTTACGACGGCCGACTGAGTTTCAAACCTGTTTGATTTCCTCCCAACCTTACGATTCCTGATGGGGAGGTGGTCGTTAGAGGCTGATCGCCCCTCGTTACCCCCTGTACAGCTACACAACGCACCATCAGGCCGATAGGAAAATTCTAGCATGACTGGAGAATCGTAGCCTGGGTGCCATTCCGAACTTAGTCCCGCCCACAAAGTTTGAGGTCGGGAAGTTCGGTCTGGCTCTGCTCCATAGTAGCGCGAGTATTATCGCCCACTGTCAGGCGATCCAATCAAATTGTCAGGGCGGGCTTTATACGATGATGGACAGAAGACCAACAGTAACGTAATCAACCACGTGACCAAAGCGCGCTTGGGTGACAACAACAATGGCTGCCGCTGGAGAGTTTAGGTGAGTAGATTCTGCTATTAGGTCTGTTCTAGAAGATATCGACAGCAAATTAATTTTAAAAGAGGAACAGAGAAACGCGATCAAGTCTCATCTTCTTATTATAGGCGTGAAACTGCACGCTTTGATTTTTGTGGACAACAACTATGCCTGGCTTAACATACGTCACGCACTCCGTTGCTCTTATTGGTTGTAGCTCTATTCAATTGAGTGCAGAGGCATTTTTTTTCCTGGTTCGTTCGAAACACGCCCCATAATCACAGCTCTATGGAGCAGCATCAGACTCATTCTGACTAGAATTGAGTCGGACTACGTCAGGCTAGGAGAATCGGCCCGAAAGGGCGTAAAAATCGTACATTGTACGTCCGGCTTAAGTCCTTGCCTTGTGGGCAGGAGCATGTACTCTACTCCCACTGAAACCTGAACCATTACTCCAGTCTTCAGGCACTCTCAGTAAAAACAGGTAGAAAACTACGGGTACGCTGTTTTCTCTGTCTTTCAGATTGAGGGACTACATATTGACACTAAATGCCTGAATCCATCAAAGCCAGCCGTCCAGCCCAGCCCATCCGTGGCTACGGGGAGCGGCGTCCCTGAAGTCTTAGTCGTTACAACATCTAGAGCTGAACTGCCACTCGAAGGACTCCAAAGTGAACACACCATCATCATCAGCCAAGAGGGAAATGGGATCGACGGGCCTCCTCCACATCTGCCTGCCTTTGAAGGGGGAGCCTCTTCCCTTCCTGCTCTGAAGCCCCCAGATAACCCTCTATCAACTATCCACATGAAACCCATCGAATGTCAGAGAAAAAACCAAAACCCCATCCTCAGCCCGATAAAAATCCCTTGTGGCCAACCTCAGAGTCGCATAGATGGGGCGCAATCTGCTGCATCGTCAGCCACCTTGATGCCTCCAAAACCCATCCCTGGGGAGGCCCAGGAGGACTTTCTGAGGAGGAAGCGAGAGTACTGGAGGCTAAAAAAGAAAGAACAAAGAGCAAGGAAGGCCTCTCAGGGCAAGGGACGCACCCCGACCAGAGCCTCCAGCGACAGCAGGAGCGTCCTGCCTGCCCAGGATCTACAAAGCTTCATCAGAGCTACGCAGGTGAGTCCAAAAGATCCACAGGTTACAGAGAAGAAGGTCTGATCCTTTCAAACCATCCAGATTAGATCACATTTAGAAGGAAATCTCTATGTACAAGATTCCTCTAACGGGGCAAAGACCCCAAACACACAGCTGGAGCTAATGTGTTAGAGAGGGCCTAGTCAAAGTCCAGGTCTTTCAGGTAAACTGAGACTCTGAGCAGTGAAATGTTTATAGAGTGGTTTAAAAGTTACACCCTACTGTTGGTCTGTCACCTTAAAAGCAAGAATATCTTGAAATGTGGCAAAGTTTAACCCTTTATAGAGCAAGTTAAAGTTTTTGATCCCTTGCACAACCCATACAAATGGAGTCTCTCCCTTCCCCGTCCCTCAGTGAGATCTAGAAGCACAAGATCTATATCCACCCATGCAGCAAAATTTTGGCTTTTGACCAATTCCATGAGCTGTTGAATGATATTTTACCTACTAAATGAAGTTGGAAACAAAAGTTAACAAGTCAAGAAAAAAGGTAAAAAGCTAATTTAAAAGTCTCCCTCTCTGCTCTGTGGTTGCTGTAGGATCCAGACCAGTGGGCGAACTCCTCTGAACATCCGATGAGGTGAGGATTTCTGGAGCTTCTAGAAACTCCGCTTCTGTCGGTTCTGTCTGACGTAACGATGAAATCTTGTTTTCTCAGCGTCCCGGCGGAACCCGACCCAGAATCCTTAATGTTCCCGACCTACCCAGCTCCGGCGGAAGGTAACCCATCATTTCTGCAACCTTCAGAAACGGCCATTATTTCCTCAGTCCAGTTTAATAAAACTTGTTTAGAGCAACAAATGTTACGAGTTTATAGATACGGGACAAGATCTTTTTTTTTTCTTTTTTTTTTAAGGAAACTACCTTTTTCTTTCTTTTAGTTTTAAAAACAATAATAAAAAAATTCAAAAGATTGCAGTTCTCTTAAAGGTGTAAAGGACATTCTATTATTTCCGGGTGGATCATCTCCATCATTGGTCCTCCTAACTGTCAATCATTCTGGTGACATGTTTACGTACGGCCGTCCTACGCGCTCGTCTCGTTAGCTATCTTTTTCTGCGCACTTTCAGGCTGCTCTTTTAAAATGGCCGAGGGTTTTAAGAGAAAAAGCGTCTACGAAGTGAATGAGAAGGAAAGAAAGGCCTCAGAGAGGCAGGTATATCCCAGAATGCTTTGCATGGAGAGCTCTCCTCTTAAAGCATGATGGGATTTGCCGTCACAGCGGCCATAGGCTGCCGCTACCGGACAGTGATGCTAATAACAAAGATGGCGCAGGCGTTATCAACTGAGCAAAAACTAGTGATCATCTGTCTGAACGGTCAGTTAACTGAGTTCACTATAAAGTTCACTATGAAGTCCCAGCTCTATGTGGACACCATAAGCCTGCACAAGCCCTCGTGCAGTGCGTGCACGAGGGCTTGTGCAGGCTCTTGCACAATAATTTTTTTTTTAAGTGGAGAGGGCGGGTCTTTTTAAAAAATCCTCCAGAATACCTTTAAGGGATGGTTAAAATTGGTGTAATAAAAAAGAAATAGATCAATAAAAATATGTCTGCACCGATTGATCGACCGATCAAGCCAATTTTCCCTGATTTCCTTATTCTGTGGAGATGGATTCTCGGCCAATATGTGGAGCTAAAACACATCTTTCCATTTTTTTTACCTCTGCAGAAATAATAAAATCAGCCACAGTCAAACCTTTAATTTTAATTATTATTTGAGAGGATTACTAGTACAGTTAAGTTCCAGTAATATAAGGCAGAAGCATTTAAATGTGTATTTGTGATATTATTAGAGATGAAACAATTAATAATTTAATTAATAACGGTTAATTAAATTATTAATTGTAATAGATTAATCATTAACTGGAGTATAGAGACTCTAAAACCTGCCTTTAGCTGTCAGAGTGACACATTTAGAGCAGGAAATATATGATAGTTATAAAAATCAATATATAAACATTTGCATTTAAGATAAAAAAAACTTTTTCTTCTCTCAATCTGCTCTATCCAGAACTCTTCAAGTGGAAAATCTTTAGTTTCACCTGGTTTAATTTAATAAAAAATCTTCTTTAAGGAACCTTTGGCTATCTGATTATTAATCGATAAATCAAAAAGATAACCGACAGATTTTTCGCAGCTCTAAATCTTATAGTAATATTTAAAAAAAAATCGGTATTAGTCAGAATCGTAATCGTTGTGTCAGATATCGGTTCACCGCTGCTACTTTAGGGTAATTTACTTGCAAATTCAGGTCCATTCAAATCAAATATTTGGAAAAGATCCTTAAAACTTTTATTATTTCTTATTATATCTATATTTGAAAATATTAACTGGTCATTTTTAGCTGAAGTTCTTAGGCTCCACTGTGGATCCGCAGGTTGCAGACTTCTGATCTAAAACAACAATCTGAGAACGAGGCTCTGAACTTGAACTGTTTTCCAGGTCAGGATGACGTCTGGTTTGCCGACTATGACGAGGAGGAGGAAACCCTGACGGAGGCGGCGTGGAGGAGCCGCTACCTCATGGACTACGATCCGCTCAACCAGCTGCTGGTGTGCATGGTCTGTGGGGAGCTGCAGTACTCCCACGGCCTGGAGGCGGTGAGGGCCCACATCGACGAGGCGCACCCTCTCACCCTGAGGCTAGAACCCAGAGAGAAGCAGAAAATCCTGGAGGCCTGGGATGAGCAGGTTTCCCAGCGGGAACGCTTCTTCAGCAGCCAGCTGCAGCAGCACTGTGGGCCGACACAAGGTAAGCTAGAGCCGTCGGCGCCTTCCTCCTGGTTAGATTCAAAAGCTGAAGAGACCAGAGGTCCGATTCACAAAGCAGGTTAAACAAACTCTGACTCAAAGCTGCAAGTCTGAATTAATTTAGCCAAATTTTCAGCCACTGTCTGAAAAAAAAAAACCCTTTCCCACCGTCTGAAAAATCCCAGGGGGCTTTTAGTGGCAATAGGAACAGCTTACTGACGCGTGTCTACCGGGGTCAAAAGACTCGGCAAGCAACCCGCGTTAAAATTGTCTCGGGTCTGATCGGCATGCTGTGGGAACACCAGAACTGGATTAATCCGCTAATATACGTGGCATTGAACGCAACGTAAGGACGTCAACATGCCGCGCTAGTCGTTTCTGATCTAACAAGCAGAAACAACGCTGCTTATATTCGATAAACATGGAGCAGCTCCAATGAGAGGGTTTTGGACAGATAAAAGAACGCTGACTACGCCCTGGCTTCATTCCGAGTTGTTCTCCATTGTTTACTTCCCTGATTTCTGTTGCACTAGTAAAATCACCAGCTGCCAGCTGATTGTTAGCAGGTCGATTGTTTGAAAAACCTGCGTTAACCTGCTATTTTCGGTGGAAAATTTACCGAGGCTGCGGTGGATACACACCGGCCCCAACGCGACGCTGGAGGAATGAGTGAGAGAAAACGGATGATGGATGGATAGTTCTTTATGTATCGTAAAAAATATTTATCCGCATGTGGCTCATATTAAACAAACCAAAAATCTCATATCCTGCCAAATGAGTTGTTTTTAATCACCACAATAAATATGTGACTGAAAAATGGAATTCATTGAAGTTAAGCTTTAAAACATAAAATGGAGTATTAGGGCCTGGCCAGAGATTTTTTTCTTATAAGAGAATAAAGTCATGACATTATTGACATCCTGCCCAGTTTGATGCTGGTGATAAAATATTTCCTGATTTGTCAAACCGATGCTAAAGTAGAACTTCACATGATGCTCCACATTCCTCATTTTAGGGAAGAAAGGGATTCTGGGAAGAGTTGTCATAAAATACAATTTTATTCTCGTAATTTCAGGACTTTATTCTCACAATATTATGACTTTATTTTCGTAATATACGATTTTTTTCTCGTAATTTTATGGCTTTATTCTCGTAATATCACAACTTTATTCTCATAATGTTATGACCTTATTCTCGTTATTTTATGACTTTATTATCGTGATATTACGACTTTATTCTCGAATAAAAAAAAAAAAAAAGAGAAATCTGAAAAATTGTTTTAAAAAAATCTGAAAAAAATTCTAATAAAAGGGGGAAAAAAAGTAAAAATTGAACTTTTGCATATTCTAAATCACTCCTAAAGCGTTTTGATATTTAGAATTTTTTTTCAAAATTAAATGACTGAAACACATTTTGCTGGAGGGTTTTCTGAGCTTTTTGGGAGCTTTGATGGACCTGAGGGGAGAGAGTTCAGTGGATGAAGCTGCTGGTCTTAACAGACCCACACTGCAAAAACTGATCTAAAAACTTTAAATAATGCAATAATTTTATCTAATTTTTAAACAGAAATGATCTTATTCTATCAGTAACTACAGGCCAGTTTCGTTGCTTCCACTGTTTTCCAAAGTTATAGAAAAAGTTTTTGTTACAAAGTTTGGACAAATATACTGGATGACTAGAAAAAGCCTAATAGAATCTGTTATTGAGCCGTTCTCTTATTTATCAACAGGAATCTTCCCAGATAGAATGAAAATTGCTAAGGTCGTCCCATTATATAAAAATGGAGATAAACATAGCTTCTCAAACTACAGGCCAGTTTCATTGCTGCCACAGTTTTCCAAAGTCATAGAAAACGTTTTTGTTACAAGTTTGGACAAATATACTAAAAAAATATATCTTAAATAATCCTCATTGTTGAAAAAACATTCCACATCTATGGCAATTATGGAATTACCTGATAAATATCAACAGCAATAGAAAATAAGGATTTCTTTGATGTTTTTGACATTTCAAGACTTCTTTATAAACTACAGTGATATGGAATCAGAGGTACGGTAGATCTGTTGGTACAAAAGCTAATCAAAAGTTTCAATTGTGTTATATTAAATATGGAGTTCCACAAGGGCCGGTACTCGGACCCAAGTTGTTCATGTTGTACATCAAGCAGGAAAGTTAGAAAATACACGTGTTCAAGATTATAGATTTTGGGAAAGATCATTTAGATAAACATCTGTTTTTGACTGTACATGTATAACATGGAAGTTATTTTTATTTTTTTTAAATATATTTTGTTCTTTTTATATTTTTTTTAGGAACCAACAGAAACTGATCCAGGAAGGAGAGATTGCTGCGGGGTCAACTGGAAACCAACTCCAAAAAAAAACAAAAAACATTGATTTTTATTTATTCTTTTTTTGGTTTTGTAGTAATTTTTATTTTTTTATACAAAGCATAAAGAGATTTCTTCCTGGATCAGCAATCCCATCCTTCCCTAACAGGTTGACGTACCGGCATGTTGATCAGTTTAAACCCTCGGATCCTTCGGCTGTAGAGATTTTCCACGAGGAGGAAACTCCTTCCAGGTTTCCTGGTTGGATCTTGCTTCCGTTAAATTATTTTTTTTTCCAAGTCTTTGTTGCCTCGTGCTCCTTTCTAAAGCCCATAAACTGTATCCTGTTTTAATATTGCAGGCAGCTTTTTTTCTTTTCTGTACATAAACAAAGGGAGCAGCAGTGAAAGGCCAAATCCTTGGGTTTTTTTCATGCTAATATATTTTTAAACCTAATTTATAACTCATTAAATCCTCTTTGTTGTAATTATTAATTAATGCGGGTTAGAGGAGTCCCGTCTCCGTTTGTATTAAACCTTTGTGCATGAGTAGTAAACGGTCGGATCGCAGCTGAACGTTTGAATCCATTCCCGCTTTTATTATTGTTTCCTGTTTAATCCGGTGAAGCTCGACATGCTGTAGATGTTTCTGTCGAAGCTGAAAGGGAAGGAAACTGAAAGCACAGCCGCAGCGGAGAGAAGAACCGCCGCGGAACTTGTTCTGTTCACATTTGAATGTAAATCATTACATGTTTACCTGTTTGAAAAGAATTCTTTAAAGGCCTTTTTCCAGTAATAAACTATTTCTACTTTTTACTTATCTGTGCTTTTTTTAAACTTTATCTAACAAATATTATTTATATGACTTGTTTTTCCCTATTTATTGAGCGTCTATGCAGCTTTTGATTTATAACAAAAAAAATATTGTAAATAAGTGTAAACAAAAGAACAACTGACTGAATATTTATGCTATGTTCAGACCGCACGCGATAGAAGCAGCAGAAGCAGCTAGTTTACATGTAAAGTCTGTGGTTGACGCGCATCAAGGCGCCTCAAAAGGCCCTGCAGCGCGTCTAGAGCAGCAGGAGCAGCGCCTCATGCGGCGCGTGACGTGCTTCACGAGCAGCAGCTGCCGGAGTCGGGAAAAAT